AGTGTTGATTTTTATGTGTGTGTGTGTGTGTGTGTGTGTGTGTGTGTGTGTGTGTGTGTCCAGAGCAAAACTACAGTGAGTCTCGTTACCACTTCCTGCACTCGTCTGACGGGGAGGGCTGTGCACAGATGCTGGTGGAGTATTCGGCGTCACGAGGCTTCCGCAGCGAGGTCGACATGTTTGTGGCGCAGGCCGTCCTACAGTGAGTGAAGCATCTCTCCCACACTTCATCAAAATACGTTTCTGATATTGTCACAACGCAAAAGCTGAAATCATCCCTCCATGTTCAGCCAAGAAAATACTACTTCAGCATGTTGGCCTGCAGTCATATCCATTTTCTGTCTGTCAGCAGCTTTAAAATGTCTTTGATCTGTCTGTGTGTGTTTGCTCCCTCTCTCTCTCTCTCTCTCTCTCTCTCCTCCTTCATCCTCTGTCACACTTACCGTCACGTTTTCTTTCCCATCTTCTCCTTTTGTCTCGATCCTTTTGTGCTGTTTCTATTTCTGTCCTTTCCTCCTCTGAACCTCCACCCTCCAGGTTCCTCTGCTTAAAGAACAAAAACAGCGCTTCCGTGGTGTTCAGCACATACACAGAGAAACACCCGTCCATAGAGAAGGGCCCTCCGTTTGTCCAGCCTCTACTAAACTTTATCTGGTTTCTGCTGCTGGCAGTGGATGGGTGAGGACAATGTTGTTTTTAACACGCATTAACATTTATTCGGATATACTGTATTTATTCTGACCTCCGTGTCACATAATAATGTCTTATTCTGTTGTACATCTCTCCTGCAGGGGTCTGCCCTGAGCATGTAATAACATAACTAGGCTAACATTAGCTGACTTCTTACTGATGTCTCCTTACATCTTAAGTTATGGCGGTAACTCGTTTAATATCAATAAAGTGTTTGTCTTTGAAAAACAGATTGAGGAAAATAATGTACAATATTTCAAATGCTTCTCCTCTTTGTGTCTTCAGGGGTAAATTAACAGTTTTCACAGTGTTATGCGAGCAATATCAACCTTCCCTGAAGAGGGACCCCATGTATAATGAGGTGAGTGTTGCTGCTCGATGCTCATTTCTTCCCATGAATAATGTATAACCTTCAGTAATGTGACTGCAGGTGCAATACATATGTGTGATATTATAATAACAGCTTTGACTATAACCTTATTTGGGGTAAAGTAAAACATTACAGTGTCTTATTTAAATATTGCCTTATTTATCTTATGATGAAATATGTGATAATCACTGTCCTCGGCTGTCATTTTCTAAGCCGTCTTTTTCACAACCGCGTGTCTCTGTCCTCCTCTTCCTTTGGATGTCTCCCCGGCTCCTCAGTATCTCGACAGAATAGGACAACTTTTCTTCGGAGTTCCACCGAAACAGTCCCCATCATACGGTGGACTGCTAGGTGAGTGGACCATGAGTTTATGAAGGATTATAATACTCAGCAGAAACTGAATGAGCGTATTTCCTAAACTGTTCTATTTTATATTTTAAAATGCCATATATAATACTAAAACTTCTTTTTGTAAAACAAGCTGGTGCAAAGAATGATGACCCCTGTGTTGCATCTTGCAGGAAACCTGCTGAACAGCCTGATGGGATCAGGCGAGGAGGATGACGCGGCTGAAGAAGCCCAGGAGGACAGCAGCCCCATAGAGCTGGACTGAGCCTGCCCCAGGACAAAGAGAACAAACTAACACACAAAGAAAAAGAGGAAGACCACACTCCCTCCTCCACAACGAGGGCGGGGCGAGGCGCCGGTCTGTGTTTTCAGAGGCGTGCTGTTTCCAAAAACCCCATCCCCACCCAGTCTAAAATCAGAGCAAGTATCAGCCGCCAAAACATCCCTCTCAGCACTGCCGGGACTGACTGCGCCACACTGCAAACTCTTCCCGTGTTGAATTATTGTACGATTATTTTATTTTAATCCTTATTTTTGTTAGTTTGGGACTCTTGCTCTCAGTTAAGGGTGTATGATTTTAAAACCCAACAAACTGCCCTCTCCCTGTGAAAACCTGCTCCTAAGAGATGGGAGTGGTTGGAGTCTCCCAGTTAGGATAGCATCACACGTGAAACCCCTCTTTATAATATTGTTAATAACATCATTATAAGAGGTCCACTCACGACAATTATCCAACTGTTTAGTTTTCCACACAGCCGCTCGAAGCGCCATCAGAGCCGTGGTGTTGCTGTTGTTCGCATTTTTTTCAACAACTTTCTCCGTTTTAAAGTTTCTTCTTTCAGCAGTAAATTAAATTGTACTCGTAGTGAAGGCCACCTTTCAGTTTCTCATCTTGTTTGTCCGTTAGCTACAAGGACAAACACGCACCAGAGTCGTTTGTAAGTTATTATCCGAGGTCATCTTGCACCTTCCGCCCCGTTCTGCTCAGTGTCTCCTCTGCGGGTCACAGCAGTGGCTGTCATTGCTCTTCAAGTGAATTACTGCAAACATACAGCTGCCTGTATACAAGCAGCTCCATTGTAGAGGCTTCACTTTCGACTGCGCACTCGCTGAACTGCTGCTGAGCTGCTGCTGAGCTTGTTTGCATCTCCAAGAGGAATTATGTGGAGAGGTCTAATTTTGGCATTTTTGTTGTTACAGTTGCCAAGTCATATAAAAACTGTCTGGCAATGAGTCGTTTGAAGCACTAATGTGTTGGCAGGTCGTTGGCTCTGGCTGTGTACATGTCGCTGTGAAAAATAAAAAGTCAAAGTTGGGGTTACCTTCCAAGTCTCTAAAGTGATCTTTATTAGAGGAGCAAAATGAGACGCTGTGAAAACGTCTGTTACAAAATGCTAACATCTAAACCAGCTCGTTACCCCACTACTTCTGGTTTAGTCTCTTCTTTTTCTCTGTTTCCATTTTTTATTTCATTTCGGTTAAACAATTCTTCTTGGAGGTGGATCAGTTGTCCAACATCAGTTCAGCCGGTTGCACAATCAGAGGTGTGATTCCTTCAGTAGCTTCTGTTTATCAGTGTTAACTGCCCTCAGCCCTCAGCGAACACACTGTGCTCGTTCCTCTGGACAGCTTTCTCCTCTCACATCATTCTGTCCTCTTAGTGACACTCCATCAGTCCAGGTCTTGTCAGTCAGGATTTTTTTAAAGCCCCAGCTTCTCCAGATAATCTTTTAAGGGGTCAGACCCCCCCCCCCCCCCCTGAAGTAAATTT